AATGCCCAGCTAATTTTTATATTTTTAGTAGAGCCATATTGGCCAGGCTGATCTCGAATTCCTGAACTCAGGTGATCCACCCACCACAGCCTCTCAAATTGCTAGGAATACAGGCATGAGCCACCGTGCCCGCCTAGAAAATTGTATGTATTTTCTCCTCTCTTTGAATGAATGTAAACCCTTCTGAAACTAGATAGGCTTTTTGTCAGCTTTATGAGCTAGGCTAGTCTTTCCCAAGGACCTGGGCGTCATCTCTTCGAAATGTAAACAAGCCTAAGGGAGATAGTGCTTCTATCTCCTAGTTTCTGTGGGAAGGTGGGAGCCTAACTGAAGAATCTTGCTCTGTGCTGCAAAATTATCCCTTGTCTTAAAGATAAATTTGATTTTCCTCTGGGTACAGCCAGTTAGCTAACACAAGTGGTTACCGTAATTACCAGGTAAATTTAGAGTGAACCATGTGTGGCAAACGGTGCTGGCACGACCTTTTACTTGAGGAAGGTTATTGTTTGTCTTGATAACCTGTGTGTAACAGATTGTATCCACTTGGCTATACAAAAGGGGGAGATTTCTTTCTGTTCTTGCAACCTCTTAGTAGAAGGCCCATAATGCTCTGCACGTTTTGGTTTACTGCTTATTCCATAATAAAACTGTTCTTTCTCTACTCCTTTTGTGGAGAGAATCTCTGTGTTGAAAGAAGACTTTGTTAATTCTATTTCACCAATACTAAGCACTGTACTGAATTCTGTAGAGGCAAAAGTGTTTAAGATACAGTTCCTAGAAGTGTTTATTATTGTTTAGTAACAAAATGTAAGAAAAGTTATGGGAAGCCCAAGGATTGAACCTCTATATCTGTCTCCTTAAAAACTGGGGGAGGGTGATCAAGAGGATATTACCAAAAAAAAAAAAAAAAAAAAAAAAAAGGCTGCCATTTGAGCTGATGTTTTAAGGATGGGGAAAGTCTTCCGGGTTGACCAAGATGGAGGTGGCAGTGAATAGCAGGTGGGCTTTGAAGACAAAGTCACAGAGGGTCTGAGCATAGGATGGTTTCCCAGGGCCAAGGCCAGGCAGAGGGAAATAGAAACAGAAGGCAGTGAAGATGGTGGAGCTGGGAGGGACCCATATGCTCCTGAAGTGTTCAGGAAAGTCAGTTTAGGCTGAATGCAGGGCTTCGGGGAAGGATGCAGAAAAAGCCAAGGCCAAAAAGGGAGAAGAGGGACAAAGAGAGGGGTCTCAAATTCCACACTAAGTAACTACAAGGAAAAATGATGAAAGACTTTGAAAATAGACACACACTGAGTGATGAAAGGACTGGGAGTCCTTTCTAGCATACTCTTTGGGGCTACCTCCCCCTTTTATTGCCTGAGCTAATTTTACAGCACCGTAGGTTATAGCAGATAGCAGTGCAAATGACTCTTGCTCATGGAAATACAAACTGTGTCTGGTGGAGATGCACTAGATTAAGTGCCCTGTGGATATGGACCAATTGTGCCTTTATCTCTAAATTCTTCTCAGTATTTCTGAAAGCATCTCACCCATGCTGTCGGTGTGGCTGTAGACTGCTAGTTCTCATTGCTGCATAGGATTCCACTGTATGAATAGTCCGTAATTTATTGCCATTTCTGCTGCTAATGCACATGTAGGTGGCTTTCAGTTTGTTGCTAGTTTGGACAATGTCGCCGTGAAAATTTTTGTGCATGTACATCTCCTACAACATGGATGCATTTTAAAAGTTTAGTCTTGAGTCAAACCAAAAAATACGAATCCAAATATGAAGATCAGAAATAGGCAAAGCTAAACTACATTGTTGAGGGATGATATTTAGATTCGGTCAAACTATAGGGAAAAGCAAGGAAGTAATCACCATAAAAGTCAGACTTATGGTTCTTTGTGGGAGAGGAAGAGGCTGTGGTCAGGAAGGGACATGAGAGAGGCTTCTGGGGTTCTCTTTCTCAGCCCGGATGGTGGTAATGTGGGAAATTAAATCTAATACTTTACTAACTCAGAGAGTGTTCTTTCAGTGTGTTGTATTTTGCAATAAACAAAATACAATACACTGAAAGGAGACTTTGTTTTCTCCTTAAGCACACTTTAAGGGGAAAACAAAGGTGGCCTAGGAAGATGTTTAAAGACATATAATACAGCTTTTCTTCCCTACTCACAAGCTAAAATGCTGCATTTTGGCCAAACAAGATGAGGGGGCTGAAGCATCAGCTGTGGCCAGTGTGCCGTGAGAATCCCACCTGTGTAGCAGCCAGCAGATTCCAAGCTCCTCAAGAGGGCAGGTGGGATCAAGGTTCAGCTAGAAGCCCCAACATTCCCCTGGCTCTTCTGGGCAGAGTGAGTGATGCCAGAGAGCCCGACTTCTCAGAATGCCTGGGTTGTGCTGCTAGGAATCAGAACATGTCCTTGGGAAAGACAGCCAAGATCTGGAATCTGCCATTCAGGTTCCACTCCCTCCTACGACCACGACCTGCTATGGAGCAGCAGAAGTTCCCCTCCTTGTTCAGCTCCTCCATTACAGGTGCTGGTTCCAAACATCTGTGAACTCAGGACACGGGGTCAGAGGCTGGGGCTGGGGAGGAGCAGTCGGATGCCTGGATCCCAAGCAGGAGGTTTTTTGAGGCTAGGGTCTCTGGCTAGGGAGAACCATACCTGACATTGCCACTGTGCCATAGCTGCCCAGGGCCGGGCAGGGTTCCTCCTGGGCTGGGGTGCACTGGGTCAGCTCTAACACATTATTTGCTCTCCTGCCCCTACAGCTCTGGATTCTTCACAACCTCATTCAATAGTAGTCAGTGTTTTTCAGGTATCCAAACTTTCTGAGACTCGGTTTTCTCATGACAACAATATATATTGTTTCTTGAGCACCAAAGACAGGTCAGGCAGTGTGTTTGGGACTTTCTATATCATGCCTTTAATCCTTGCAGAAAGTCGACACATACCCATTATGTGGCTTCAAAGGCTGATGGACAATCTCCATTTTAAAAGTAGGCAACAGACTTAGCAAGCGCTGTGCACAGTCGCCAAGTGCAGAGCCAGGACTTCATTCCAAAGCCAAGCTGCCTATGTCCCCATCCGTGAAGCGGGGTCAGCTGAGGAGCGGGGCTCAGGGGCAGACTTTGTGGAGACTGGCACGTGGCTGATGGATAGTAGGTGCTCCCTTCCCAGAGGTGTGGCAAGTGCCAGGTCAGCCTGAGCACTAAGAAGAGCCACACTGAATTTGGGCTGAGACTATTTCCTGCCCTGCTTTCCTTTGTGAAAATAAAGCCAAGCGAAGAGGAAGATGAAAGAATCCACCCTAACCTTCCTGAGCCCATTTCTCATTCCCAGGGGTTTTGAACCCCAATCCACTGCCCCCATTCTCAACCCACAGTGGTCCCCGCAGCAGCACAGGTCTGTCGCCCACCCTGCCTCCTCTCAGGAAACCCAGGTCCCTCCAAAGCGCCCTCGGGGCCTGGGATGAACTGTGCCCCGAGCAATGCAAGCTTTCTTGCCTGCTTTCACATGGTTCAATTTTCCTTTTTTTTTGGCTCAGTTTTTTTCTGGCTCAAGTTTTCTACCTCAAGTATTTCAAAAATTATTATTTGTGTGTGTGTGTGTGGAGGGGGTGTTGAAAGAATCCTAAAATTGCTTAGCTGTTCTCTGGACTGAGCAATAAACTCACAAAGCAAGGATTGCAGGCTCCTTGAGGCTGTGATTGCCAGAGGCAAGGCAAGAGAAATAACAAGCCGTGGCCATTCCTCAGCTGGGGTCTCTGATGGATTTCCTCCTGTTTTGCACTCATAATTTCTTTCTGAAGACCATGTTTTCCACCACACAAACCTGAACTGAGTGTCCTCACAATGGTTGTAACAGCATATATCAAAATTGAACACTAAATTTGTGCCAGGAATGTATTAATTAAAATAGCTTTTCTAAAAAACTGTAGATGGGCCAGGCGCGGTGGCTCACACATGTAATCCCAGCACTTTGGGAGGCTGAGGCCAGCGGATCGTCTAAGGTCGGGAGTTCGAGACCAGCCTGACCAACATGGAGAAACCCCATCTCTAATAAAAATACAAAGTTAGCCGGGCGGTGGTGCATGCCTGTGATCCCAGCTACTTGGGAGGCTGAGGCAGGAGAATCACTGGAACCCAGGAGGCAGAGGTTGCAGTGAGCCGAGATTGTGCCATTGCACTCCAGCTTAGGCAACAAGAGCGAAACTCCGTCTCAAAAAACAAACAAACAAACAAAACCCAAAAAACCAAAAAAACCAAAAACCTGTATGTGCACAAAAAGTGGAAGAAAAAGGAAAAAAAAAAACCCATGAATCTATCTGCAATGTAGTTTCCTAGAATCAACCACAGCAATCTTTTAGCTTTTCTCTATCTACATTTTATACATATTTTATATTTATATTAAGTGCATTTATATTTATATTAAAATGCAGATAACATTTTAAAAACTCTTTATTATGAAATTTTCAAATAAAAAGTAACTTAAAAAAAAGCAGCGAGAACCTCCTTGTACCCATCACCTGGCTTCAACGATTAGCAACCCATGGTCAATATTCCTCTATTCCCCACTTAATGTCTCTCCCGAATTATTTAATTTCACCCATAAGCACTTGTGTGCATCTCTAAAAGATAAGCACTCTTTCTTAAAGGAGACTTTAATGCAATTTCTCATCTCAAAAAATTAGCAATAATTCCTCAACAGCATCCAGATGCAATTTTTCATGCTTTTTTCAGTTAGTATAAAATCATGAGCTTTTCTCCACGTCTCTAAAATGTAATTACTAATGTTTCTGATCCTGTTCCACCAGGTTGAGTGTGATTATAAATGATCTGATCACTCCTTGCCTCCCCCACTCTTCCATCCCCTTGGACATATTGAGGCTACAACATCCCCAGGAAAATGGTTTCCATTGTCTGCACGTAAGGCAAACGAACATTATTAACCTGTTAGCTATCCACTGCTCCACCCCACCCACAGGTACCCAACCAGTCCTGTGCACCTACCTGGCGTGGACTGCCAAGGGAACCTCTGGATCTGCCAATCAGCCACCCTGTCCTGTGCAGACTCTACCAGAGACGAGTATTTCCCTTTCCTTCCCTCTAAGAGCATTTTATTTGCAGAGTTAGCCAATAGTATCTTGTTTCCTGTGAGGGAGACTATCTTTAGATGCTGCAATAGGCAAGCTCAGATACTCCAGGGTGGAGACCAGCTGCCGACAGGAGGGCCTGACTTTATAAACCTGGAAGACCTAAACCTCAGGGAAGACTGCGGAGCTGGCGGGAGAGAGGTGCCACTTACCCCAACCTGGAGGTAGGGGGCAGGGAGCAGGCCCTGCGGTCAGCAAAGCACAGCACAGTCAGCTCTCATCAATGGGGTGCCTTCAGGAAGCTGGGAATGCTCATGGGGCCCTCAGCTTCCCTGCCCATGAGAGGGACCCCAGAGTACCCACTGGCCCACATTGGGGCACACACAGCTCTTCTCCTCAAAGTGTGGTCCCAGGTGCTGGGAGCTTATTAGACAGCACCTCAAGCCCTGCCCTATATCTGCTGAATTAGAATTTGCATTTTAGTGAAATTCTTAGAAGATTGATACGCACACTGAGTTTGAGAAGCTCTGGTATTGAAGGCATCTAGTGAGTATCTTGCACTGGTAGATGTTCAATAAATAGTTTTTTCCTCACCTCTCTGCCTCAAGGCATTTAGTGGCTCCCTATAGCCATCAGTCAAGCCTCAGGACACAGTCTTCACCCGGGACCTGGCCTCGGCTCCTTTCACAGTCTCCCCCCCTGCCACTCCCGCCCTGCAGTGGGGAACCTGGCGGGCTCCAGCATCCAGCCATGCTTCTGCTCCCTGGCCTGGCCAGCGTGGGGCGACTGCAACGTGAATCTCAACCGCTACTGCCTCACCACCTTCCCATCACTTCATTACCTGCCTGACTCCTGGCACATGCTATATAATTCCAATCCATCCCTAGCCAGGGTCTGGCCCCGCGGTAGGCCTTCAATACACCTTCATTAAATGGTCCTTGACTCCTTCGAGGCCCCTCTGGCCCCTTGCTGCCCACATCCCAGTCACACCTGGTGCTCCCTTAGCTCTAGTCACTGTGGTATTCTGAGGACAGGGAGTGCTCTGTGCGCTCCCCACCTTGCCCCTCCTCACCTCCCCCAACCCCAGGACAGAACTGGCGGCTGCAGTGCAGTGCTGCGGGCTTGGTGGCCCTCTCATGGTGGAGGAAGTTCACCAGCAGTTTTCTTTCTTTGTTCCTGATCTCAGTGTTTGGCCACCTTTCCCTACCTTTGGCCACGAGGCCAAAGGACAAAAGCAGAGTCAGGCCACTGCCCACCCACTCTCTGACAGTGACCTCTCCCCACCCCACCCCACCGCAGGATACATCTCCCGGGGTCCACTCAGCAGGGTCGGCTGCCTCAGCCCCTCCCTGCCTCTGACTCCCCTCCTCTTCCGAGGGCTCCTTTCTTAGACCTGGCCAAGACTCTCCCTCTCTTCCCGTCCCACACTCTTGAGGACAGTCTCATCCACCCCACATCAGTAATCCCCTCTGGGTTCATGAGCCCACATCTCTACCTCCATCCAGGGCCTGGATAATTTCTCAAGCCCATCCAACCTTCTCCGTTCTCTGTCTTTCCTCTCACCATTTACCCACTGGCCATTCTCCACCCGGAAGCCAGAGAGCTCTTCCTGAAATCCAAGTCTGCCAACTTAAACGCCTCCAGGGGTTCTCTCATTCCTAGTTTAAGTCCACAGCCTGGTAAGCACTGCCTGCCCCTTCTCACTTCCTACTGTGTTCTCACCACTTCCACTTCCCCCAACACGCTTGTGCCTGTGGCGGGCTCTCTTCCCTTCCCAACTCACCTGGCTATCCTGTCCAGGACGCGACTTTACCCACTTTTAAAGCTAACAGATATGTTCCACAGCTGCTAGCAGCACAGGGCTTCATGCTTGGCAAGCATGGGCACCAGCGTCCAGTGTCAGCTGCCTTGCCCCCAAGCCCCACAGAGCGATGCTATGGCTTAGATAGATACCTGTGCATGTGTGAGGGATGGGGAGGTTATAGGAAGGGAACTCTGAGCTTGGGGAACGTGCCATTTTATAGCAAGCAGTAAGCAAGTCGGTTATTTGGCCCTGAGTGAGATGTCAGCTCATCCCTCAAGGTTGCTCACTGCAAACTCAACCCCGCAAAATGGACCAAGTGAAGAGCATTAGCGCTTTGCATTCTTGACACATTCATAGATATGGAAAGAGCCGGGGCAGCCTTCCCCCTCCCTCCATGACTCCTTGGGCCTCTGTAAAGCAGTCTCTGGCTCTGCGCTGGGAACTCTCTCCTTCCTGAACTCTCGTTCACTCCCTCCCCCATGCTCCCACCCTGGTGCAGCCTTATTCCTTAGACCCCCGCCTTCCTCTCTCTGCCCAGCCCCTTTGGCTTAACTCTCTGGTGGAGCTGACCCTTGTTCACGAGTTCTTTGTCATTCTCCATTTCTCTTCCAGTTGAGACAGTAAATGCAGAGGACAGTTTGGTTTCTGCTGGGCAGAGAAATGACAGTATGGTGGGCTGGCTCAAAGACAGGAGGCCAGACAGAGAGGCTGTGAGGATGGCAGGGACACCCTGGACAGTGATGGGCTCACACAACGCAGGCAAGGACCGGAGACTTGGTGTGAATAAAGCTTTGTGGGAATGTGGGGTACAGACACAGAAAAGGAGCGTGAGAGTGTGATTTGCCTTAATTGCCAAGCCAAGATACTGCCATGTTCTTCCGCGTGCCCTGGAGAACTTTGGGAATAATCGCATAAGCAATTGTGCAGCACTGGGTCTGCCTGAGGCAATGTCCTAAGTCCTTCATGTACATGAACTCATGTAGTGTCCCCAGCGACCCCATGATGCAGGTGCTAATGATTTTTTTCTTTTTTCTTTCAGACAGGGTCTGGCTCTGTTTTTCAGGCTGGAGTGCAGACACATGATCATACCTCACTGCAGCCTTGACCTCCTGGGCTCGAACGATCCTCTCACCTCAGCCTCCTAACTAGCTGCAACTACAGGCACACGTCACCACACCCAGCTAGTTTTTGTAATTTTTGTAGAGACAGAGTTTCGCCATGTACCCAGGCTGCTCTTGAACTCCTGAGTTTGAACTATCCTTCTGCCGCAGCCTCCCAAAGTGCTGGGATTACAGGCGTGAGCCACTGTGTCTGGCCACAGGTACTATTATTATCCTCATCTTACGTGTGAGGAGTCTGAGACAAGGAGGAGAAGTTACGTAACTTGCACAAGACCACACAGCTCATGTGCGGTAGGGCCAAGATTTGAACTTAGCATTGAGGTTGTAAGGTCTATGCTGTACATTCTCAGTGGAGGTGGTATTACTTCCAAGGCAGCGAAAATTGGTTCTGGAAGGTTCTTGTGCTTTATGTATCAAATACAGATATACATATAGTAGCTAAACCAATAGCATATCTGTGGAATAAAATTCCATGGTAGGAAGAGGTGAGTAAGAATGTAATGTGGGCCAGGCACGGTGGCTCACACGTGTAATTCCAGCACTTTGGGAGGCCAAGGCAGGCGGATCATGAGGCCAGGGGTTTGAGACCAGCCTCGCAAAAATGGTGAAACCCTGTCTCTACTAAAAATACAAAAATTAGCCAGGCGTGGTGGCGGGTGCCTGTAATCCCAACTGCTTGGGAGGCTGAGGCAGGAGAATCTCTTGAAACCAGAAGGCGCAGGTTGCAGTGAGCCGAGATAGCGTCACTGCACTCCAGTCTGGGTGAAAGAGAGAAACTCCATCAAAAAAAAAAAAAAAAAAAAAAGGAATATAATGTGGTTAATGGGTACAAAAAATACTTAGAATAAATAAGACCTAGTATTTGTAAGCACAACAGGGGTACTATAGTAAAAAAAAATTTTAATTTACATTTAAAAATAACAAAAAGACAATAATTGGATTGTTTGTAACACAAAGGATAAATGCCTGAGGTGATACATATCCCATTTCCCCTTATGTGATTATTGCGAGTTGCACGCCTGTATCAAAACATTTCATGTAACCCACAAACATATACACATGCTATGTACCCTGTCACACACAAAAGAATATAATATCTAAAAGGACTTGTTGGGGAGTGATAAAGAAAAAAAGCTGAGAAACCATTGTCTACAATTTTTTTTTTTTTTTTGAGACAAGATTTCACTCCCATCACCCAGGCAGAAGTGCAGAGGTCTGCCTCCTGGGTTCAAGCGATTCTTCCACCTCAGCCTCCCGAGTAGCTGGGATTACAGGTGCCTGCCACCACACCTGGCTAATTTTTGTATTTTTAGTGGAGATGGGGTTTCACCATGTTGGCCAGGCTGGTCACCAACTCCTGACCTCAAGTGATCCGCCTGCCTTGGCCTCCCAAAGTGCTGGGATTACAGGCGTGAGCCACGGCACCCGGACAAGAAACCCTTGTCTAAGGTCTGAATCAAACCACTCTGCTACCTCCCAGTTTAAAGTCTGGGGATTAGAGGGTAACATGACAAAAGTAGTCCCTTCAGAAAAATCAATCAATGGGTGGGTGTGAGGGAAACTGCTGGACAAAAGGGAGGGAAAAGACGTATATGAAGGATTTCTCCATGCCAGGCCCTGTGCGAGGCACATTGTCTATTATATCTCTTTTTGACTTTCACCTTCTAGTCAGGTATTATTTTTTCCATTTTCAGATGATGAAATGGGGAGAAAAGAGCAATGAGTCCTAGGCCACATAGCTGAAAAAGGGTCAAGTCAGGATTTGAACTTCCTGCCCAAATTCAGGCAGGGAACAGCAAGAGGGGAGCCAAAGCAGTGGGTGGTGGAAGACAGAGAAGGGATCTCACTAAAGGAAAATGCATAGAATTGTAAAGGACCAGACATGTTGAGGGTCAAGTGAGAATCCAAAGGCTGTGTTGCCATTGGCAAGTCAAAAGCCGTATGCTGGGAGATTTCAGAAGCAGAAAAAAAGTCCCTTTCTGGGCCAGGCACGGTGGCTCATGCCTGTAATCCCAGCACTTTGGAAGGCCGAGGTGGGCGGATCACGAGGTCAGGAGATCGAGACTATCCTGGCGAACACGATGAAGCCCTGTCTCTACTAAAAATACAAAAAATTAGCCAGGCGAGGTCGCGGGCACCTGTAGTCCCAGCTACTCAGGAGGCTGAGGCAGGAGAATGGTATGAACCCGGCCGGTAGAGCTTTCAGTGAGCTGAGATCGTGCCACTGCACTCCAGCCTGGGCAACAGAGTGAGACTCTGTCTCAAAACAAACAAAAAACAAAACAAAACAAAAACCCAAAAATCTCTCTTTCCTCTTCTCCCCTAAGAGGACAAAAGATCTTCTCCCTCTAAGAGGAGAAAAGATGAGACTCAGAAAATTGGAGGCCAATAGAAACTTGGAGGTGGCTCATGCCTGTAATTCTAGCACCATGGGAGGCCAAAGTAAGAAGATCACATGAGTCCAGGAGTTCGAGACCAGCCTGGGCAACATAGGGAGACCTCACTGGTACAGAAAATTTAAAAAAAAAAAAAAAAATAGCTGGGCGTAGTGGTGCCGACCTGTAGTCCCAGCTAT